TATATATATATATATATATATATATATATCAGCTTATATGACATAGATACAATATTTTTTTTTATGAATACTATATTAAAGACTAAAATATACCTTAAATAAGGAAAACAAAACAAATTAAGTAATTATTAACTATTTTTATTTAATGGAGAACAAATTTTCTTTTGTACCACATACAATTAAAATATTAAAGATACTCTCTGCATATTTTATAAAATATGTAAAGTGTCTGTAAATTTTTTGAAACAAATTCTATAAAATATGACCATATGGTTCATACCTCATCTAAAAAGTAATTTGAATGTTTCTCCTCTGCTGCTCTTGCAATAAGTTCACCAAAAGGCAAAGTTCTATAACAGTTGAAAATACTTAAAGTTATTACAAAAGATATTTGTGTACTTTTATACACTGTTAAAAACAATTCTTCAATTTCTAAAGAATAATATTTTTGTGTGTTTCATGGCGTACTATTTTCCTAACACTATTTTGGAGCCATCAGTGTTGTAATTCTGATCTTTAACACACCTGACTGTAATCATGCACAAGATAGAAATGTGTCTTTAAATTGTTATTTCACACAAAATTAGTCTTTTAACTCTATCCATGGGAAAACACAACAGCCTATTTCTATTATTTAAAAACAAAATTAAGATTTACGAATCTTAACATATGCACAAATTATGAATATAAAAGGTTACTTACTCTTAAATAACTGTCTACTGTACAGAAATGAAGTATTTTTCTGTGAAATTTTAAAAACGTTCAAACTGGCTTTCCTGCTAATGAATCCTGTATGCTATGACAGACTGTGTTGTGATACAAAGATATTATCAAAAATTAACAGCCTTTATTATACTTTTACACTGAATGATATTATCATGTAACAATTTCATTTTACAAATCCATCTAAACACATAGACTAGACTTAAAATTTTAACAACTGATACAATGTACTAGTTAGATATACAGTATTGGTTTAATGAAATGGTATATGATAAAATATGAAAATACATGAAAAGTTGTGATTTCATCTTTAAATAATATTCTATAGAAGTTATCTGCAACTGTGAATTTAATAATGCATTTGAAATGTATGAGTAACAGACCTGTAAAGGAAATTTTTATTTACAAAATCCAACTTTGTTGATGTGGATACATGGATTTTAACTGGTTGATTTCCAACTTGTTCAGCTAGATACTCTGCTGTCCATCTTTCTGTACATTTACCAATGTTTACATTTTTCAAAACTGCTGGAACTCTCTAAAAAACAAAACAAAAACAATTTCAAATGAAAATACGTATTTGTTTTTTGTGTGAGACAGCCACCTTACAGAGTAAATTTATATATCTTAAATCTAATGTTATGGTATGAAACTAACTTTTATAGCAACTGGCAAATACCAGTTACGAAGTTATTTTAATAGCCAAAAGTGTCAGCCATGCTGGTAAAAAACAAATACTTTATGACTTGTGTGCCCTTAGCATATATAACTAGTCAACTGACATGAATTTCTAGTGTTGTATTTTCGAGCCATGTTTGTGAAAATAATTAAATTTCCCAACATGAAATGTAAAAATAAAAGATATAAGAAATTAATCACCAACTGAACAAACTATTTTTACTTGTTCTAAAACATACATGACAACAATGTTCAATAAGGTACTAGACAAAAACAACAATTTAGACTGATTAGTCCAGTTTTTTCTTCTACAAATATGATTGTACACTGTTTTTTTTTTCATTTTTCATAATTTTGACCATTGTTTACAACTGGTTTAATGTTCATAATCATGCCCATTCTTCATAATAGTCATTGATTAAACAAAAGAATCCACTGCCTCTATATATCATCAAATTTTTGAGCTCCGATTTTTTGTGATGGCATTTTTTGTTTTGGTAATTTTACTTTCTGAAAATATTAGATTTTTAACTCAAATTAAAACAAGAAAAACAAACAATCGATCACCCTCTTTAAACTATCAACATTAGAAAAAAATCCATTCACAAAGGTACAAGAGGAAAATATTTCACTCATACTGTTTTAACTCTATCAGCACAGGCTCAGTCCCTGGGACCAACCTTGTAACCACTGTGTGCTTGTTATAGTTTTTATCCTATAACTTTTAAATCAGTAAGCAAATGTTATCGAAATTTGGCATATAATCAGTAAACATTACAATGATTTCATATGCAAAATATAAATTTTTTTTATTAAGTCTTAAGATTTAGAAAGCAATGTTTTTCTCATGTCTATTTTTTCTTTTCGCATATTAAACAACCTATCTAACATGCAAAGTAATATTCATTTTAACATTAAAAATACTTTTATGCATAAGAAAATTTTCAGATTTCACATGCAAAATCTTTTTAATGTCAAGATACTTATCAAACGTTTCTTAAGAAAAAACTATATTTTATCTGTTATTTTCAGTAATTATTCTCTGTACAGGTTTGGTAGATTTAACTGATCTTGCAACCATCATAAAAAAATTAGAAAATAAATATAAATTATGCCTCTTTCATTCTAGGATGAACACAAATTATAACACAAAAATAGCTTAAATCTCATAACATTATACATTTATATATATTTATTACTTTTATTATATTGACCTTTCAGCTGTGCCTGGCTAACAATACAGAAGTTACAATGATGCGGCTCACATGCACTCATGTTACCATATAAAAATAATATAAAACTGACCTTTGGTCTATACAAAGTAACTTGTCTTGGCTGTGTTTTAGTAGACTAGTATTTTGTAAAATACATTCACATTTCAATTACTATACATTATATGTGTATATAGATTATTGCTATTTTTAAATAAGTTCTTAAACATATTTTTCCTAAAACATACAACAGTAATAAAGAAGTAGAGCAAACAATTATCTTTTCTAGTTATAACCTTTGTACTTGGTTGTTAAGCCTTTTAAAATTTTGCACATGGAGGATATGAAACAAAATATCTTTTTTCCAATAAAAAAAAAATCATAAATTACAACAATAATACCATAGAATTCCACTATAATTTATACAGCTTAGTAAAAAAGATGTATTTTAATCTGAAAAAATATGAAATTTTGAGTAGACTAAAGATACACCCAACCTCGTTGAAATATTGGTTCAAAAGAAAGAAATGGCTGTTAGGGGGAGATTCTGTGCTTCTGATTGGTTATTAATGTAAGTGTATATAAGGGAGCATTTCCAAGAATGGTAAGAGGTGGGTGGGGTGTCACAGTGTTTGATTTATTACAAGAGCAATATCTTAGAAAATTGAGAAGAAGCTCTTATTTTATATTCTAGCTTGTCAATATTGGTAATATGAGTTTTTAATTTGTTCGAAACTACAGACTTAGTATTTTGACTTCACAAAAATCTAATTTGAACCAGTGCTGCATTCAACATACCACATGACACACAAAAATCGATGTTTATTTGTTTTTTTTAATATTTGCTTTTAAATTAAGAAATTGAGTAACATATAGTACTAAAATTTGAATTAAAATCTACAGTTTGATACTAAAGTTATTGACATAACTTCATGAAGTAGTAGTTCAATAAAATTTTTAATGTGAATCAACAAACGAGATGACATGGCCTTTTACCCGTGTCCCATCTCGAAAGGGTTAAGCCTTAAGTTAATGAATAGCCTGAATCTCTTATAAAGAGAAGTGTAGAAGTTTGCAAGTTTTAACCTAAAACATTTCATAATTCAATAATGCCACTAAGATTGTTAGAGTTATAATACACAAAATCATTTCATATGGTTATATTTCTCACTCAATATTCTCAACCTTTTTTAGTTTCAAGCTCAGTGTGGAAGTCATAGCTGTTTTTTTGGCATTTAAATAATTAGATATCTATATTTGTTTAAATGCTAGGTGTAAATATGTTACAAACACTAAAATATTTAATAAGTTATTCAATGAAATATTTGATATTTCTGATAAACACAATAATAGTTAGTAACTTCAAATACAAATGAAGACACCAAAAAATTTGAGAGCTTTGAAATATGAGTTTGGTAATGAATGGAAAAAATCAGCTTACCTGAAGAGTCAATGAGGAGGTGCTCAAGATGGTTTGAGGTAAATAGAACCTAAATGGCAAAATCCATAAAAGATACTTGTTTGAAATGATCAAAGAAACCCTAAAAGGAAGAATTCAAGGGAAACAACCTACTGGTTGGAAGAGAAAAGCACCACAGAACAATCTTACAAATGGGGGATCGTATGGTTAGATGAAAAGGAGAGCAGAAAATAGGGAGGATTGGAAGAGGAGTTTTTGAGCTAAGAATCTGCCCCTGGCCCAGCAATATAATCAAAAATTTAATATAAATCTTCATAAAACAAAAAGCTACATTTTGTTTCATGTAAATTGAAAGTCAAGAGTTATGTCCAATTTTTTTTTTATCACTAAAAACATTTTGGAGAACAGTGGTTTTCAATTTTACATCTTCCTTATTCCAAAAATCAAACCTTTAATGTGTTAGTAAGAATAAGTTAAATAACACCGATTTATGAAAGCAGATTCCAGCCCCAAATTGGGGCAGAAGTCTTTACATAACGTCTAATTAAGTAACCAGTATAAGCAACATGCAGGTCACAGTAACAGGTATTGGTGTGATTTTTTTCACTGTTCTCTGGGAGATTAACTGAATTTTCTCATACATCAAGTATTGTGCATTATGATTTATTGTGTGTGTAAATAACTGTCCAACTAGAAAGTTAGCTCTCTACCAGACCTAATAAAACATAGATTTTAAGAACCACCAAAATTGTTTATTTCATTATTAACAGGTTTCATGCTTGCTTCTCATAAATTTCACTCAATGAATAATAAATTGAGTTTAATGGTCCATGAAAACTGAATCTTGTCTGACACCTGAGGAGCTAGATATTAGGTCCAGAATAGCCCAGTGAGTTACCTTCCTTTGGTGAATAACAGAAACTATGACCCATTGTTACATACAGGGTCCTGAATAGCCCAGTGAGTTACCTTCCTTTGGTGAATAACAGAAACTATGACCCATTGTTACATACAGGGTCCAGAATAGCCCAGTGAGTTACCTTCCTTTGGTGAATAACAGAAACTATGACCCATTGTTACATACAGGTCCAGAATAGCCCAGTAGGAGTTACCTTCCTTTGGTGAATAACAGAAACTATGACCCATTGTTACATACAGGGTAGT